ACTAGTACAAATAGTAGAAATGTATGTATTGCACATATATTACTATTTTATAAATTACTTAATAAAGATATAAGCAAAACTTCATCTTAAAAAAAAAAAAAATTATTAAATATATAAAGATTTAAAATTATACTACATTATTACTGCATATACTTATTTCTGCAAGTGATACAAGTCTAAAAAGAATAATTTTCTATATAGATTATAAAATCAAATACAATCTTTGTGTAATATGAGTTTGAAGAATTTTTTAAAATATTGCTAATAATTCAAAAATTTGTGTAGAAAATTACATTTTATGTTCCAATAAAAAAAATTATTGACCAAATTTTACTATATAATCTTTTTAATACCAATCTTTATCTCTAGCCCTAATGCTGATCAAATATTATGTACTTTTAGCAAAATAACAATTATTTTCTTTTTTGTATCATTTGCAAAAATAAGTAAATCCATATTTGACTAGTGTTAGGACTAAGGTTAAAGGTTGGTATTAAAAAGATTATATAGTAAACTGTGACTAGTAATTTTTTTTATTAGAACATAAAATGTAATTTTCTAGGCAAAATTTTAAGTTATCAGCAATGTTTTGAAAAAATTCTTCGAACTTACATTACACGAAGATTGCACCTGATCTTGCGATCTACATAGAAAAATTTTCTTTTTGGACTTGTATCACTTTTAGCGAAATAACAATTATTTCCTTTTTTGGTTTGTATCACTTGCAGAAATAAATAAATCCCATTACTACTATTTTTCATAACTATACTTTAAACAAAACTCAATTAAAAATAACAAAAAGGCAATTTTTTCTATACTCTTATATCAACACCAAACCAACCCTAATTATAACCTTAATTTTAATTAAAACGATTGAACCGTCAAAATCACGTGGGTACATGGCTTTAGCCATCCCTCAAAATAGAATTTTTTTAAAGAAATAGGCCTGCACAATGATTAATTATTTTTCACTTAATAGGCGGCTTGATCGTCGTTCTTAGCCAATCAACCAATTTTGGTGCGTCAGGGTACTGTGGTGACAGAGAATTCTAATAAATTATTGGTGGATATAGCCCATTGTGATAGAATTGGAATATTTATTTTTAAAGTATTATTCATACGTCACCGCAGAATTTGCTAATTTCAGTTAGAGCAGTACCTTGGGCACTCTAATGATGATCTTAAAGTATCTTTATAATTGTCACGTGTAGGTTTCCTTCTTAAATTTGGTCGTAAAAGTTAAATCACATATAATTAATTTTGGAGGTGTCATAAAATAGAGATTATACGGTGATTAATTAATATGTAATACGCTTTTATTCTAGCTTAGGAGACCGAATGAAATTTCAAGTAAATGCACAGAATAGGTCTCTAAAAATTTAGTGTACAAATTTGTACGCTATACGATTTAAGGGACAATTTTATTTATTGTAGTAGACTAGTTAAAAATGGCAACAAAATTTGGAATACAATTGCTGCGGGACCGATTAACATCACTATCTGCAGCTTATTTTTGACAAATGAAATTTAGCGCAACGCATTTAAATTTATGCTGATCGGCCAATTTGAAAAATGAACGATAACCGATAATGTTTGGACAAAAAAAACCACGATATAATCATAAAGAAAAAGAAAGGCATTGTGACTTTAAATTTGTTCCAGAATCTCCATGCAAATTAGTTGATTTCCTTGGAGGCGTTAATTATACACCTTCTCAAGATAATAAGGAAATTTTTAACTGTTCCGTAGGTTTCTTTCGGAACATATTGTCAGAAATTGAAATAGAGAAAGGATGGGAACATTTTAAATTTTTCATCATTCAAGATTGTATCAAAAATGGCAGCGGAGGATTTTCGGTGGGGATTTCTCGGACGCAGAGCGGAAGACATCCACCGAGAAAAAGAATAAATTGCCTTTCATGTGATTCAGAATCAGAAACAAACAAGGTTTCAAGAATTAATTTTCCATCAACCACAAGTGATGATACTAAAAAACTTTGCAATATTTGGCTTGACGCAAAAGCAAGGCCAATGTTTATAATAACACCTGTCCGGCATGTTGAGAGGCTTTCTGAGTGTACTGATGATGAATTATTTTCAATATTTCATCTTGCAACGCAAATAATTGACGAAGAGATGAAAGTTTCTAAAGCGCCGTGGGAAGATTTAAGATTTCTTCGAATGACATTAAATCATGGTAATTCGAGAAACATTGAACATTTACATCTTAAAATCACAATAAGAAATCAAGATTTTAAGTATTTTAGAGATCATGGATGGGATGATGTAAAAAAACGAAATTTTAGAATTTTAGAAGGTGGTTTATATAAAAGAGATGAAAGATTGCAGCAAATATCATAACCTCGCTTTTTAAACTTTCGTAAAGATGTTAGTTTATTTTTTTAATGCACACAACAAAGGACTGTGTGTAATCAAATATGAGCTGTTTAGATCCGGATCCTTATGCTTAGCATTTAATTTCTAACCTTTTTTTAAATTTTTATTTTTTAAATCATCTACTTGTTAATGTCAATTTTATAAATTCTTTAGTACCAATTTCTCTTTGATATCAACCCCACATTGATATAGGTGAAGGCAGACTTGAAGCATTGGGACGTGTCGTAACGTAACAGAGTTATAACTGGTTATAACTTTTTGCTTTATGTTTCGGCTTGCTGTAACCCGAATTAATTATTTACGTTATAACTTTTTACATATACCGTAACTCAATTTTATATGCGAAACTTGTTATATCGTCTTTTTTATGTTTATTCGGATGAGTTATTTTGACTATCATCAACTTCTTGAGATGTAATAATTTCATTTCGCTCTTAAGGTGATTTTAGTAAAAGGTTGAAATGTAAAAAGTTGATTGATGTTATAATTTAATTCAGATAATGGCAAATATGAACTATTACTATTTAGAACTGAATTGTCTTCGTTCATATTTCATCGTAGAAAAAACTTTCGATAATAGACAATTTAAATATATAAACTATTCTTATTACATCATTGATTAACGTTAAATATATATATTACATATATGCATAAGTATCTAGCGATAAATATCAAAACTTTAATTTATCGATATGGTATTTTGACACCGACCATGTCAAAAAAAAAAGTGACGCTAAAATGAGATTCTACTTGAACCATGTGATGATCTGCACGATCCAGCCAATCAGAACTAATAATAGTATTCTAACCCAATTTTTAGAACAAAAAATAAAGTCATGTAATTGATAACTATACTAAAAATTCTCATATTTGTATCATCTTTTTTTGGTTTTTAAAATAATCTACGTGAAAAAATTTCAATTGAAAAATATATAAGGCAATATAACTTTTTTTTTTTTTTTTTTTTTTTTTTTTAAAGGTCATACTTTGTGGCAATACTTTATTGACTTTTATTGAGTAGTTATTATAATTATTTTTATAGAGATAAGAATACAACTAGTCATACATACAACTTTTGGTTGTCTATTTAAGTAGTCTGCCCTAAGGTTCTATATTAGGTGTCATACCTATAACTTACTAGAAAATTATCTATTTAAACCTTCTAATTATACACTTTGTTATAATGTAACCTCAACTAACTTCCTGTATATACCTAACTAGTATACCAACTGAGCAGTATAGTACTTATCTTTTTTGTACTGATTTTCAGACTGTTATGTATTTCAGAATACATCATCTGTCAATAAGGCACAAAAGGTTCCTCGTTATTAACTATTTATATACTTTTAGAATATTAATAAGAGTTACATTTATAGAGTTTATTTAGACCTAGTATTGACTTTATAGCATATTCTTAGTACTTTTAATGTATCTTTACTTTGATCTTAGACTTCCAATTTAAATAGTTCAGAAAAACTATGATCTGTTCTTGATATATTAAGGTTGATCTACTATCTTTTTTTCTAGTTTGAAATTCAGCAGTCTGATTAGTAATATCTTTTATCTAAGTTTCTTGCTTATTTAATTTTTTTACATTGGTATTTATAGTATTATAATTTAATATCTTAGTTTTTATAATATAAAACTTTTGATTAGACTTAATCAGCTAAAGACTTATTTTTTAAATACTTTATATATAAATTTTTAAAATTTGATCTAATCAGAATATAAAAACTAATAATTAATTTTATATAGTTTAATATATATATTTATATAGTTTAATTTAATAGAAATATAATTACATAGCAGTTTAATAGTTAGTTCTGATTACAAGTATTAGTTCTGTTATAGCGATATCTAGGTTAGCTATAAAAATAAGTACAGAAAGCTCTAAAGAGTTTATTTTAAAGATAAATTAGTCCTAAAATTAAAATAATAATCTGAGCATCTGGGTATAATTCAATGATATTAATACAGATTACAGTTCAGAGGGTTTAAAGTTGAACATCCAAGTAGAGGTGTTAGGTATAGCAATTAGTAAGAAACCTTTGAGTAGACTCTTTAAATAGGTAATATAGAAAAGTTACACATATAGCCAATTGTACACTCTTTTGTAATAGTTCATTAAACTACAATACTAATAAGTGATTAATAAAAGTTAAAAGACCAAAGAGGTCACCCTAATACCAAAAATATATATATATATATAATTATTAATAACTATTAGAGGTTTACAACTTGGATTTACAATTTTGCTTAATAAAAAATTTAGACATAGGTATAGACATAAAAGCTTAGATATAAACATAAGTATAAATATAAAAATTTAAATATAGATATAAATATAAACATATATATAGACATAGATATAGACATAAATATAAGCATAAATATAGACATGAATATATGTATAAAAAATTTGATATAGATATAAATATAGATATAGAAAAGTATGTTTATAAGCATAAATATAAAATAGGTATAGAATATTATAAGAATAGACATAATAATAAGTATAAATCTATCTATTTATATATTAAAAAAATATGAATATGCATGAGATATGACCTTTGCAGATTAGTGTAACTGATTTTATGCATGAGTGCTGACCTTTGCAGATTAGTATAACAGACTTGCATTTATATTGACGATCATTATATTTCATATCATATTTCATATATGTAGGGAAAATCGTAGCAATATTTAGCATTATATTTCAATTAACTAATGGATTCAATTAATAGTGAAACTCCTAATGAACACCACTTTCGATTAAGAAGAAAGGCTGCTGCATGACGAAGAGCTAACAAAACACCAGAACAAAGTGAAACACATAAAAGACAACACAGAGAATTGAGAGCACGAAATTCTGAACGCGTCGTTACAACTTTACTAGCACAATCTTCTAATACTGTACAAGCGAATTTTACCCAACCAACTTCTAAAAATACTAATTCTTTTTCACCCTTAGAACTTAATAAGCACTGTTCAGAAAAATATTCTCTTGCACATTCTGTTTCAAGTGTCCCGATGGTGAATTCTGAATGCGTCGTTACTACTTTACCTGAACAGTCTTCGTATACACAAGTAAATTTTTCTCAAACAACTTCTAATATTACTAATTCTTTTTTGTTCCCAGAACTAAATAGGCAACCCTCAGAAATGTCTTCTCTTGCGCATTCTGTTTTAAATATCTCAATGGCAGAGTCTAAATGCGTCGTTACTACTTTACCTAAGCAGTCTTCTCACACAGTACAAGCTAATTTTACTCAAACAACTTCTAATAGTATTAATTCTTTTTTGTTTCTAAAACTAAATAGTCAACCCTCTGAAATGTCTTCTTTTGCGTATTCTGTTTCAAATGTCTCTGTGGCGGATGTTTCTATTTCTATACCTATTTCACAATCTGTTTCGGTTCTAAAAGCAAGAGTGTATCCTTTTAATTCAAGCGGGCTATTGCATTATAATCTAGGAAGAATGAGTTATTCATGTGTTTACTGTGGTGCATTAAAATGGCTTGATGAACAATGCTCAAACTCACCTAAACGTTCACCTAAGTTTGCTACCTGTTGTGCATAAGGAAAGGCTATGCTTCCATCTCTACAAGAGCCACCACCATTATTAAAGGCATATCTTACAGAGAATAATGCTAGATCATGCGAATTTAGAAATAATATACGTGTTTACAATTCTGCTCTAGCTTTTACTTCAGTTGGTGCTAAAATTGATGAATGTATTACTAGAACAAGAGGCTCTTATAGCTTCTGCATACATGGTGAAATGTATCATCAGATTGGGTCTCTCATTCCTTATTCAACTACTGATCCTCCTTTGTTTGTGCAAATCTATTTTTATGATACAGAAAATGAAACTCAAAATAGGCATAATATAATGCCTTCTTTGGACAAGATAACACTTACTAACCTTCAAAACATGCTTCATGATGTTAACCCTTATGTTCAAGTTTTTAGACAAACAGGTACTCTCATACGTCAAAATCAATATCAGAGTTTGACAATGATAATTAAAGATTCTAGAGATGTGGATTCTCGATATTATAATGTTCCATCTGCTTTTGAAATTGCAGCTATTATGGTTGGAGATAATACTGATAACTCTACAATATGCAATCATGATATTGTACTTCATTCACATGCTGGTGGTTTACAGTGTATATCTGAACTATATCGAGCCTATGCTCCATTACATTATGTTCTTTTGTTTCTCCAAGGTGAAGATGGATGGCATCCGAAAATTTCTCTTTATAGCATAACTGATGATCAAACTCAACCAGATGTCAAAGATGTTTTAGTAGATGATGCTAATAAAATTACCAACCAAAGATATGTTACTATGATGCAATTTTATGCCTATCGCTTACAAATAGGCAGATCTAGAGAGGGTATAAGTCTTCATCTTTCTGGAAGACTTTTCCAGCAGTATATAGTAGATGCATATGCTATTGTTGAACAAAATTGGCTTAATTTTTTAAAACATAATCAGAAGATGATTCATGCTAATCTCTATAGTGGACTTCAAGATGCTTTAACTATAAGAGATGAGCTTTCTTAAAATTTATCAGCAGCAAATATAGGAAAATGAATTATTCTTCCTTCGAGTTTTACTGGTGGTCCATGTCAGATGCAACAACTGTATCAAGATGCAATGTCAATTGTATGCATGTTTGGTAAACCTGATCTTTTCATTACTTTCACGTGCAATCCAGCATGGACTGAGATTACAGCAGAGCTTCTCAAAAATCAAGCAGCATTTGATCATCCAGATTTGACAGCTAGAGTCTTTTATATAAAACTGAAAGCATTAATGAATAATATTATAAAGCATCAGATTTTTGGAATCATTGTAGCTTATGTCTATGTAATTGAGTTTCAAAAGTGTGGTCTTCCTCATTCACATATCCTTTTAATTCTTGATCAAAATAACAAACTAAAAACTGTTGATGAGTATGATAGCATCATTTCAGCAGAGATTCCAGATAAGAATATCTATCCCGATACTTATAAAACTATTCACCGAACAATGATGCATGGTCCATGTGGTTTAGCATATCTGAATGCACTATGTATGAAAGATAGAAAGTATTCTAAAAGATATCCATATAATTTTTGTGCTTCTACATCTATGAATGAGAATGGATATCCTGTATATCGACACCCTGATAATGGTCGATTTGTAAAGGTTAAGGGTGTGCGATTAGATAATCATTGGGTAGTACCCCATAACCTATATCTTGCAACTAAATATGATGCACATATTAATATTGAGATATGTTCTTCTATATCTGCAGTAAAATATCTTTTTAAATATATTTATAAGGAACATGACCGTGCTACAGTTAAGGTAAGTAGACCACAAGAAACTAACTCGCAGGAAATTGATGAGATTCGTCTTTACATAGATGCCTGGTATGTCTCTGCTTCTGAAGCTGCCTGAAGATTATTCTATTATAAGTTGTATAAAGAAAAACCCAACATAATGTGTCTTCAAGTTCATCTTTCTGATCAGCATATAGTATATTTCTATGAAAATGAGAACCTTGAAGCAATTGTTACATGCAGAATGAATATTGAAACTACTCTAACCGCTTGGTTTAAAGCCAATCAGAAATATTCAGAAGCTCACACACTTACTTATGGAAACTTTTTTTATTGTTGGGTATATAACAAATGGCATAAAGAATGGAAGCCAAAGAAAAAAGGACACACTATTGGGCAGATGTATTTTGTACATCCCAAAGCAGGTGAACATTATTATCTTCGCATGCTTTTAACTGTAGTATATGGTGCAATATCCTTTGAAGATCTTCATATGATTAATAATGTTCATTATCCTACATTTAAAGATGTCTGTAAAGCTTTAGGTATGCTTCAAGATGATAATGAATGAGACGAATGTTTGGGAGAAGCAAGCCAGTTGCAATTAGGATCTCAGATGCATTATTTATTTGCCACTATTCTTATGTTTTGTTATCCTACTAATCCAGAATTGCTTTGGCAAAAATACATCATTGCATTTAGTGATGATATAATGTTCCAAGCCCGTATAGATGCCAAAAAAAATCATACTATCTGTATTAGTAATGACAATATATACAATATAGCATTACATCAATTAGAACATATTTTAGTCCAAAATGGAACAAGCCTTAAAAATTTTCCTAATATGCCTATTCCAGCATCATTACCTGAAGATTTATTGCGCCATAACTGATTGATTAAAAAAGAATTGAATTATGATATTGCTTTACTTCAAAGTAGAGTTACTGATACTTATTCACGATTAACCTTCGAGCAATGCACCATATATGACGCAGTTGTTCTTGCTGTAGAAAACAATCACCCTATATCCTTTTTTATAGATAGTTCTGAGGGTTCAGGTAAGACATTTTTATATAGTGCTTTATTAGATAAAATTAGGTCTTCTGGTCGTATTGCACTTGCTGTGGCATCATCGGGAATAGTGGCCCTTTTATTAGATGGAGGTAGTACTGCACATTCCCGTTTTAAGATTTCTTTCGACTTGCATGAGACTTCTACATGTAATATTTCGCATAGTACAGAATTTGCAACACTTTTACAGTGCACAAGTCTTATAATTTGGAATAAGGCACCCATGGCAAATCATTATGCTTCTGAATCTGTTGACTGAACTCTTAAGGATTTGATGAAGGAATTGGATCCTGCTTTACAAAATTAGCCATTTGGAGAAAAAGTCGTTGTATTTGGTGGAGACTTTCAACAAATTTTACCTGTGGTACCAAAAGAAAGAAGAGAGGATATCGTTAACTCCTGCTTATTAAGAACTTATTTATGATAACACATTAGAATGATAAAATTAACTGTTAATTTACGCTTATGTCAAGCTGGAGATAATATGCATTCATCTGAGCACTGATATTTTGCAGATTGGCTTTTGAGAATTGGTGAAGATCATATTGAATGGCATCTTGAGAAAGGCAATTATATTAAACTTCCTGATAATATTTACATCACTTCTCAAAATATGCGCGATTTGATAAATTTTGTTTATTCTAATCTTATAATGAATGTGACTATTTCTCATTACTTAATGGAATATGCAATTCTGGCTTCCAAAAATACAGATGTTGAGTTAGTTAATACAACTGTTATGTCTTTATTTTCCAAGAATGAAATTGAATATTTAAGCACAGATAGTATTGATGATGCAATAGGAACCAATCATAAAGATCTTTACTCTGTTGAGTTTTTGAATACTATAAACATGAGTGGTTTACCTCTGCATAAATTAATACTAAAAGTCAGTGCACCAGTTATACTTCTTCGTAATATCAATCCTTCAGAAGGGCTATGTAACGGGACACATTTGCTTTGCTGCACTTTTGCTTTCCATGTTATTGAAGTTCAAGTCATTACAGGAAAGCATGCTGGGTTACGTACCTTTCTTTCTCAGATTTTTCTTACACCTTCCAATTCAACTTTACCTTTCATGCTTAAGTGTTGTCAATTTCCTATTTAGCCTGCTTTTGCTGTGACCATTAATAAGGTGCAAGGCCAAACATTAACTCACGTAAGTGTTTATTTACCAACTCCTGTATTTTCTCATGGCCAACTTTATGTAGCTTGCTTAAGAACTACATCAAAACAAGGTCTTAAATTCCTACTAATGAGGCAGCATGCTGAAGATGGATATATCCAAAATGTTGTTTATCCAAAGGTACTACAATAAGAACATTTATTTTTATGATTTAAGTGTCTCCAGATATGAAAAGGTAAGTATAACTTATTATATTGGTTATTATTAACTATTTCTACTACGTATAATATATCTCAGTAAATTCTTATGACAATAATCTGCTTAACTGTCAAATATTTTTGTTCGAATGCATTTATAGTTTTATATTATATTAATAAATATGCTTTAGCACCTTATTTTACTTTTTTATTTAAAATACTGTCAATATGTAATTTGTCTATTGGATAACTACAGAATAACTAAGGGACAATTATGAGATTTTTTATATACTACTATAAGTGAACTAAGAATTAATAATATAAGTATGAAATAAGTGCAGCTACAGAACAACTCCAGGACAACAACGAGATTTTTTTATGTACTAATAAATAAACTAAGAATTACTAATATAACTATTGGATAACTATAAGATAACTACAGGATAACTATGATATTTTTTATATACTACTATAAGTGAACTAAGAATTAATAAGATAAGTATGAGATAACTACAGGACAGCTACAGTGCAACTATGGGACAACTTACAGGTAAGAACATCCCAAATATAGAAATGATGATCTTGACATGCATATTGATTTAGCCAATCAATATCGTAAATTTTTAATCATATGAAAAATATCACATGTGATTAACTAATAAAATCATAAATTTTTATAAAGTAAAAAAGAACGATATTTATTTAAAATTTAAAGTTCAAAATAACTGCTACCAAATATTATTGTTAAAGAATATTATTGTTAAAGTAAGCAAGCATGTATTTATTAATTTAAATCAAGATTATTAATTTTTTCAATCGTATTTTATTTACAAAACCTCAATAATCTATATGCTTAATTCTATCTAATTTTCTACGTTCAAATCTCTGTCTAATTCTACGTTTACTCAAATTTCTAATATCTTACACTATACTATATATCGTATATTAAATGAATATTATTCTAATAAGAAACCTTTGCAATTTTAATACACATCATGCATTTATGCAGTATAAACCTCATATCGTATCTTAAACACTCCTATAGTGATGATATTAATAAATCGTATAGTTAATTAACATTGTTCATATATTTCAATTTCAAAGAATTTCTATGCAATACATATAATAATATATATATATAAACTAATTTTCTTTCTTTTACACTACTATAATTAAACATTATTTTATCTTTTTTTTGCATAACAAACGATATTTTGTCAACGTAGTGATTTTTAATTACTTGCAACTTCAGTAGGTAAATTATAATGTGAAAGTCGAATGATTCAAAATGATTCAACTAATATTATAATAGTATGGCACGAAAACTTCAAGTTTCCTTAGAGCACTTGGCCTGCTTTAAAGATAAGATAATCTACTCGGGCTTCTGAAAAACATATTGTAACATATATAAAACAATACTTAATTAATTGTGTAATGATCTACAAAATCAGAACTCTCGGGACTTTCCTACCTTGAGAAACAACTACAGGACAACTATGGGGCAACTATATGATTTATTTTAAATTTAATATAGGTTAACTAAAAATTAATATTATACCTACTAAATAACTATAAAACAACTATGGGGTAACTACAGGGCAACTAAGATATATACTTTTAATATAATGATAGCATATTACATATACTTATAATTAAACCAGCAGTGAAGTAACAGGTTACATCTAGTATGAATATAAAATAATAATATTATAAGCATAAGTATAAAATAGGTATAAAATAAACATAAAAATAGGTATAAACATAGGTATAAGCACAGAAATACAAGCATAGACATAAATACAAATATAGATATAAACTTAATTATAACTAATAATAGAATTACTTTTTTTTTAAAAAAAATATTAAGATATATACTTGCAACCTAGGATTTTATTGATAGTATATTTGGCTAATAGTTGTATTACAACTACAAAAAGCAATCATAGGAAGAGTGTACAACTAGCCACTCATACAACTTTAGTCATTGTCTAATTTAAGTAGTCTGCTTAAAGGTTTTACACTGGCTGCCATATCTGGAATCTGCTTGTAGGTTCCTTATTTAACCATTTTGTTTTCATATCCATCTACTTATCTCTGTCTACCAACAACTCTAACTGATACTGATAAAAATATACCATGGCCACTAAGTTTTTAAAGCAGTTTATTTATATAAGGAACCTTTAACCTTGTATTAAACCTTCCAGAATCTTTTGTATCTCATTCTTATAGTTAATTCAGTAACACTATAGCTGAGATCAACATTAGTGATCAGGGTATACCATTAAACTGCTATGCTCTTGTAGAGTTTACTCCAATACCAGTACTGACTTTACAACATATTCTTACTACTTTGGTATTCAATTCAAGTTCCACCAAGCTGCTATTTCAGATAGCTTAAAAAGGTAAGTTGAAACTATACACCTCTAGTTTACATGTTTGCTAGCATGTATCCTTTTTTTCTAGAATCTAAAAATTCTGGCAACCTGGTTGGTTCATCCAGTTCCTCCTCAAAGACTAGCACATTTGTCTGGTTTCATAAATTTTAGCTCTGTTTTATAAGTTTAGTCTTTACAGTAGCACTGTCGAAGGTTTAGATTGTCTCTCTACTTAGGTCTTCCAAGTGAGCTTCCATCTTCTTATCTGGTTTCTGTGATTTACATGGCCTAAGGACTTATTTTGAGTTTATACTACCCAGTATCAGTTTGTGTTTCCTCATACAATATTGTATAAGTGCCTAAACCTTCTAGTCATGTTAGTATGATACAGGTTATAGGTATCTTATCCCAACCAATCACAGAAGACAGTTAGCTATAATACAGAAAGAATTACAAATTTTTACTGTTACTGGAATTTGAACTCTAAACCTGCTACTTGGGAGTTGACAACCTATTCACTTCACTAGGTTGTCACATTCCCAAATAATAGAATTACTAAATTATAGTATTATAGCATTTTAGTATATAATAGAATTAATTTTATTACAGTAACCAATTGTCTTAAATATTATATATTATAATGTCATAATATTATCACAGATTGAACAAATAAATAAAATAAATAATAGATAAATAACAGGAAAAAACTACCATTATTTTATCCTATATCTGCTAAATAATAGCAGCATAACAATAGCATAACAGCAAAATAACAGTAAAATAACAGAAGATTTGTCAATATAAGTAATATAATAGTAACATAATAGCAAAATAATAGAACAGTTCTATTATTTTACTTTTAGTTACAAAGACTAAAAGTAAAATAATAAAACTGTTTTATTATTTTGCTATTATATTACTATTATATTACTATTATATTATTTATATTAACAAACCTTCTGTTATTTTACTGTTATTTTGCTATTATGTTGCTGTTATGCTGTTATTATTTGACAGATATAGAGTAGAATAATAACAGATTTTTTTCCTGTAATTTACTTATTATTTATCTTTTATTTATTTGTTTGACTTGTATATAACTATAATTTTGTAAATGTAATTT